CATTCCCTCAATGTGTAGCGGGCAGCCCCGCACGAGAAGAGCTCTACGAGGCCCCCGGTGGTAACCTGGTTGACGGTTTACCGCCGGCTCCCAGTTCGAAAACGCTGGCAGGCTAGTTGGCTCGAAAAAAAAGAACTGAACTTTTCACAACTTTTGGTCGGTTGAAAATTTTGTTCTCGAAATTTGACAATTCGTTAGAGCTCTAGTATTTTTTCCCGTGATATTCGATCTTATTCCCGCTCGCCATCTTGATCTCAGCTCGATCGGGTGAATATTACTATCGAAAAGCACTGTGGCGGGATCGGCCGTTTCGAGTCATCGTGATGCACGCTGACGGTTTTGCGAAGATAACTCGAGCTGTAGGACAGCTACAGAGCTGGTAGGCACAGCTAATCGATGTAGAATGAAAAGGCGCGTTCGCCTGTCGAATCCAGAGGCCTGAACTCGGTCTGTTAGCCGAGCTAGGTGCGCAGACCTATTCGTATTATTCGAGTCATCTTGACAGGCGCTTTCGGTTTTCTGTACGTAACTCGAGCTGTAGGACAGCTACAGAGCTGATATTTACAGGAACTGATTCAGAATCATCAGTTGCGTTTGTCTGTCGAATCCAGAGCTCTGAACTCGGTTTGCTGCCCGATCTAGAATCACAGAATTATTCGTATTGGTTGAGTCAGCTTGAGAAGTGCTATCGGTTTTCTTCACTCAACTCGCGCTGAGGGGGGCTACAGTGCTTGTTGTCACAGGAATCGATTTAAAGAGATGAGGCGTGTCCGCCTGTCGAATCCAGAGCTCGGAACTCGGTCTGCTGCCCGAACTAGGTCCGCATAATTATTGTATTGTTCGAGTCATCCTGAGAGGTGCTTTCGGTTTTCTGCACTTAACTCGGGCTGTAGGGGTGGTAATGAGGAGTCGATTCGCAGACATCAGACGCGTCCGCCTGTCGCATTCAGAGGCCAAAAAATATTCACTATGGGTCGGAATGTTGGTAGGTGCTGTCGGTTGTCTCAACTGAAGTCGAGCTAGGAAGCTCTACGAGTCCCCCGGCGGTAACCAAGGTTGACGGTTTACCGCCGGCGCCCAGTCCGGCGCGCTGGAGAGCTAGTTGGCAAGAAAAATCTCGACGGAACTTTTGGTGAATTTTGGTCGGTTGAGAATTTTGTTCTTAAAATTTGAACATTCGTTAGAGCTGTAGTATTTTTTCCCGTGATATTCGATCTTATTCCCGCTCGCCATCTTGATCTCAGCTCGATCGGGTGAATATTACTATCGAAAAGCACGGTGGCGGGATCGGCCGTTTTGAGTCATCTTGATACGCGCAGACTTTTCTGAACATAACTCGAGCTTTAGGAGAGATAGAGAGCTGGTAAGCACAGCTAATCGATGTAGAATGATTAGGCGCGTTCGCCTGTTGAATCCAGAGGTCTGAACTCGGTCTGTTAGCCGAGCTAGGTTCGCAAACCTATTCGTATTATTCGAGTCGTCTTGACAGGAACTCTCGGTTTTCTGTACTTAAACTCGAGCTGTAGGACAGCTTCAGAGCTGATATTCACAGAAACGGATTCAGAATCATCAGTTGTGTTTGTCTGAATCCAGAGCTCTGAACTTGGTCTGCTGCCCGATCTAGAATCGCGAAACTATTCGTATTGGTCGAGTCATCTTGAGAAGTGCTCTCGGTGTTCTTGACTCAACTCGCGCTGAGGGGGGCTACAGTGCTGGTGGTCACAGGAATCGATTAGAAGACATTAGGCGCGTCCGCCTGTCGAGTCTAGAGCTCGGAACTCGGTCTGCTGCCCGAATTAGGTCTGGAAAACTACTGAATTGTTCGAGTCATCCTGAGAGGTGCTGTCCGTTTTCTGCACTTAACTCGGGCTGCAGGGGGGCTGCAGGGCTGGTAATGACAGGAGTCGATTCGCAGACATCAGACGCGTCTGCCTGTCGCATTCAGAGGTCAAGAACTATTCACTATGCGTCGGAATGTTGGTAGGTGCTGTCGGTTTTCTTCAACTAAGTCGAGCTAGGAAGCTCTACGAGTGTCCCGGCGGTAATCAAGGTTGACGGTTTACCGCCGGCGCCCAGTCGATGACGAAGAGCTCTACGAGGCACTAGCTCCCCAGCGCGCCGGAATTACTCTCAAGCTTCCAGCAACTAGCTCAGGGAAGCTCTACAAGTCAAACCCGGAGAGCGAAGAGACCCTTTGGGGACGGGAAATCTTTCCTGGAGAGCTCTGGGAAGTCCCCCTGCAGCGCTGCCGAAACGCTGCCAGAAACGTTTCCATGCGTGCCTGCACGCGTGCAGGGACGCGTGGAAGCTTGCCAGAAGCTTTCCCGGACACGTTGCCGGGTCGAAGAAGCCCCTGTGAGTCCTGTGGACCGCCGTGGAGGAGCTCCTGGCGGCCACCACCACCGTCCGTCTTCTAATCTTAAACCCTTTCGCTCTCAGCGAGCTCTCCGGGAATACCAATTTAGACAGGAGCTCGCCTTCACGTGCATGGATATACTTCAACGTGCTTGTATCGATGGTGATGCCTCAATACACAAAGCGTGTTTGCACCATCGTGACATATCTTCTGATTTTCTTTTTCATCGCGATCTGCCTGTTCATGAAAAAGGGGCGAGCACTCCAGAATGCTTTTTCAATTTCCTTCTTTCTGTGAATCGTATCAACATGCGTTTTGGACTCTCTATCCAGCACTGTACCCAAGATCTCCATCTTCGGGAATTGTTTGAGTTTGATGACATGTGGCAATACTTTGTGCTCATGAGTGCACCTCTCCTGCTCGAACAGCTGGAGCTGGCTCGCACTGCTGAGCCCCCCTTGGTCCTCCCTTGGGCCAGCTGTTGGAACAACCAAAGGCACCTCCAAGTCGTGGTCACATCCTAGCTCCATATATTCGAGACTGCTCTCTTTCCACTCAAACCCAAAACGGCGTAGGGCATACGTCATGTCAGCAATCATGCGTGTCAATTGGAATGAACTGCAAGCAAAATCACATTGTCGGCCCACAACATGTTGGCCACCTTCCAGTCCCGACGTTCGCTGCTGCGCACACTGGCGCCAGCCTCCGAGAGAGACCATCCCCGGCCCTTCCCATGGCAGCCCTTCGCAATCCCGTCAAAGGCAGCCATAGAGAGGGCAATCCACAAAGCAGGTTCCCGGGGAGCTCTCTGAGAGCTAAAGGGTTTTAGATTAGAAGCCGGACGGTGGTTGTGCCCGCCAGCAGCCCATCTTCGCCGGTCCGCGATCCTCGCAGCGCCTCGCTTGACCCGGCAGCGTGTCCGAGAGAGCTTCCGGCAAGCTTCCACGCGAGCCTCCACGCGTGCAGGCACGCGTGGTGCTCTCCAGGTTTACCTCGTAGAGCTCTTACCTCGTAGAGCTCTTCAGCAAAGAGCTAAGAGGAATTCCAGCGCAGGGTAGAGCTAGTTGGCGGGCCCGAGCAAAAGAGACGATGTGGTAACCCGGGGTCGGGTTTTTTTCCCGGAGAGCTCTCTGAGAGCTAGAGGGTTTTAGATTAGAAGCCGGGCGGTGGTGGTGCCCGCCAGCAACCCATCTCGGCCGCTCCACGGTCCCCGCAGCGGCTCGCCTGGCCCGGCAGCTGGTCCAGGAGAGCTTCCGGCAAGCGTCCACGCGTGCCTGCGCGCGTGCAGGCACGCGTGGACGCGTTCCTGGCAGCGCTTCAGAGACGCTGCAGGGGAGCTCCCAGAGCCCCAAAGAGCTTCACGAGAGCTTCCGTGGGCTTGCCAGGAAGGCTTTCCGGTGTGTGTCCTCTTACCTCGTAGAGCTCTTCGGTATCGATGAGCAAGAGGAATTCTGGCGCGGGATGCAGCTAGTTGGCCAACCTGGCCCGGGCGGACAGTGTTCCCGGAGAGCTCTCTGAGAGCTAAAGGGTTTAGATACCTTGTAGAGCTCTTCGGCAAGATGAGCTAAGAGGAATTCGGGCGCAGGTGGAGCTAGTACCTCGTAGAGCTCTTCAGCAAAGAGCTAAGAGGAATTCCGGCGCAGGGTAGAGCTAGTGACTCGTAGAGCTTCCCTAAGCTAGCAGCTGGAAGCTAAGAGTAATTCCGGCGCGCTGGAGAGCTAGTTGGCAAGAAAAATCTCGACGGAACTTTTGGTGACTTTTGGTCGGTTGAAAATTTTGTTCTCGAAATTCAACCATTCGTTAGAGCTCTAGTATTTTTTCCCGTGATATTCGATCTTATTCCCGCTCGCCATCTTGATCTCAGCTTGATTGGGTGAATATTACTATCAAAAAGCACTGTGGCGGGATCGGCCGTTTGGAGTCATCTTGATATAGGCTGACGGTTTTCTGAAGATAACTCGAGCTTCAGGACAGCTACAGAGCTGGTAAGCACAGCTCTTGGATATAGAATGAAAAGGCGCGTTCGCCTGTTGAACCTAGAGGTCTGAACTCGGTCTGTGAGCCGAGCTAGGTCCGTAAACCTATTCGCATTATTCGAGTCATCTTGACAGGAACTCTCAGTTTTCTGTACTGAACTTGAGCATTAGGCCAGCTACAGAGCTGATATTTACAGAAACGGATTCAGAATCATCAGTTGCGTTTGTCTGTCGAATCCAGAGCTCTGAACTCCGTCTGCTGCCCGATCTAGAATCGCGAAACTATTCGTATTGGTCGAGTCATCTTGAGAAGTGCTCTCGGTTTTCTCCACTCAACTCGCGCTCAGGGGGCTACAGTGCTGATGGTCACAGGAATCGATTTGAGACATTGAGCGCGTCCACCTGTCGAATCCAGAGCTCGGAAACCGGTCTGCTGCCCGAATTAGATCTGCGAAACTACTGTATTGTTCGAGTCATCCTGAGAGGTGCTCTCGGTTTTCTGCACTTAACTCGGGCTGTAGCGGGGCTGCAGGGCTGGTAATGTCAGGAGTCGATTCGGAGACATCAGACGCGTCCGCCTGTTGCATTCAGAGATCAACTAAAATCCACTATAAGTCGGCATGTTGGTTGGTGCTGTCGGTTCTCTCAACTTAAGACGAGCTTGGAAGCTCTACGAGTTTCCCGGCTCAAGTAACGTGTCGGCTCAAGTAACGTGTACACACATACTTGTCCCCGATACCGTACCTCGGGCTTAGACTGGCCGATCGCGGAAGTTGCTGGCGCGAGCCGGCGGCGGAAGCGTGACGAGCCTGGGACGCCCGGGGTTTTTCTTCACTGCCTCGAGTGGTGCTCGCAAGTCTTGGTTCTTTCAGATCTGCCTTGAGTGGATTGCATTTTGATCAATTTGCTGTGTATCATTGTTGTGATATCTCCGGTGTTCTCACACATCTCCCCTCAGTGGTTCGCCATATACCTACCTTTCGTGATCTTGTTTGTGCCAGATGCCTCATGTGCGGAGTCTCGCATCCAGGTGTAGACGTCGGGCTCGGGCTTGCCAACTTCGCTGGGTTCGACAGGATTGTCCTCTTCCGTTGGTGCTCGATGGCCTAGTCGCCCGTGACACGGTATTGCATGAAGAGTTGGATACTAAGGCTAATGAGCGTGACACGGTATTGCATGAAGAGTTGGATACTAAGGCTAATGAGTTGTTGACTGCATTACTCCATCCCTCCGATAGCTGCGCAATAGTTGATTCAGTTGTAGCTCCCGACACGTCTCCTTCTAGGAGTGTTCGGGTCGAGGATTGTGTTCCAGAGGTCCGCTACGCGTCTTCAATGGAGGATGGGACCCAGGTTGACTGCCCAAGGAAGCTTTCAGTTCGTACGAGAGTTGCTTCAGTTTCAGTCCATGGAAGTGGAATCGTTGCCAGTGGTATGGAGTCGAGGGCGCTTGGATGGTGGAAATCTCGACAGAGTATTGCTGGGGAGTGGCTCGGTACTGCATCTGTCTCGCGTTCGCTTTCTTCCCCATCGCGTGATGTTCAGAGTTCTTCTTATGGGAGTGATGATAATGTTCCTGCGGTCCGCTACACACCTTCATATGACCCTATCGCCGAAAATGAGCGTGAAGTGTACGATTCAAGTTCTGATGATGTCGACGCCATGGACGATTGGCAAATTGGCGAGAGATACGCGGCTGAGATCAAAGACGTTTTGGCTCATATCGAGGTCTCTGTGGAAGTTCTAGGTAATGATGTTCTTCGGGATAAACATCTTGCCACTCAGCTGGAGATAGATAAGACTGGTGAATATCTTGCCATTGGAACTCGAGGTATGGAAGCTCACGATCTGCTGGATGAGCTTTATAGGCTGCATAAGGCGAAGGATGATCGTTGGCATGGGTTTATTTCACGGCTAAGGGATGATGAATTCTTGACAAAGGCCGAGCGGCAAAACTGCGTGAGTAATCTGTTGATGGTCCATGATTTGAAGTTGGAAGACATTCGGGAACACATTAAGACAGGGACGGAGTTTGAGTATGGACGCGAGAAAGAAATAGAGGAATTGAGCTTGTGTATGGATGCGTGGAAAGATTTTCTTATGAGTATGTCTGGCTCCTTCTAGTCCCCTCCATTGTGTGATAACTTGTCATGTCTTGAACTTGGTCTTGGGCGTGCCGTGTTTCGTTGAGTGGTCTCCCCTTCGTGTCACAACGCGACGCCCGCGGATCCTTTCAGAGTGTATGACAGTGTTTTGAATTCTCTGCAGTTTCAGAATATACAACAGTTTCCTCCCTACATCCCGAACGCCGAGAGCAATAGGGTAATCATGTATACACTTTCTACCCTATCGATTGTGCGTTCTCACAGGTTGTTCTATGGATGACACAAACTTGATATTTGCAGTTTCTTCTCTCAATGCCAGCTCCTACGGTTCTCAATGCCAGCGCCTATGATTCGTCTCAATGCCAGCTCCTACGATTCTTCTTAATGCCTGCTCCTACGGTTCTTCTCATTGCCTGCTCCTACGATTCTGCATATATTGTGTTTCTGCGTTTGTATTTGTATTTCATGAATGTGATTGGTTATTCAGTACAGCTTCGCTGATATTAGCAGCTTCGCTGCCTCTGAGTTCCCTTGAGATCATGTTTTATAAGTGCTTCCGCACACACGTTTGGTGTGTCCGTCGACGCCTGACCTTGTGCTTGCTCGTGGCCCTAGGGCCAGTCCGAGCCTCGCAAAGCCGCAAAGCAAAAACCAAGGTTGACGGTTTACCGCCGGCGCCCAGTTGGCGGGCCCGACCAAAAGAGAGGATGTGGTAACCCGGGGTCGGTTATTTTCACTTTATGCAATATTTTGAAATTCGTTTTGAGAACCAGTATTTTTCTCACGTGTAGTGGGTTGTGCCGCGCTCGCCAGTAAAATTCTCAGGTCCGTAGCTGCAGTATTACTATCAAAAGACTTGAGGGAACCAACTTTTGATGAAAACCAAAAAATCGTGTTGTTTTCGATTTTTCTGCTCTTGCTTCAGAAGGTTCCTTTATGTGTTCCGAGAAGCGCTGTGCAAGAAAAGAGCTCTACGATGTGCTCGGCGGTAACCTGGTTGACGGTTTACCGCCGGTTCCCAGTTTTGTTCTCGAAATTTGACTATTCGTTAGAGCTCTAGTATTTTTTCCCGTAATATTCGATCTTATTCCCGCTCGCCATCTTGATCTCAGCTCGATCGGGTATCTTTTACTGCCAAAAAGCGTCCCGGCGGGATCGGCCGTTTCGAGTCATCTTGATACGCGTTGTCGGTATTTTGTACTTAACTCGAGCTGTAGGGCAGCTACAGAGCTGGTAAGCACACCTATCGCATTCAGAATTATCAGGCGCGTTCGCTTGTTGAATCCAGAGGTCTGAACTCGGTCTGCTAGCCGAGCTAGATCCGCAAACCTATTCGTATTATTCGAGTCATCTTGACAGACGCTCTTGGTTTTCTGTACTTAACTCGAGCTGTAGGGCAGCTACAGGGCTCATTGTCACAGACATCGATGGGAAACCAACATTCGCGTTCGTCTGAGAGCTCTGAACTCGGCCTGCTGCCCGAGCTAGGTTCGCGAAACTATTCCTATTGTTCAAATCATCTTGAGAAGTGCTCTGAATTTTCTGCACTCAACTCGTGCTGGGGGAGGGCTACAGTCCTGCGAGTCAGAGATATCGATTTGCACACATCAGGCGTGCTGTTGGTCGATTCCAGAGCTCGGAACTCGGTTTGCTGCTCACTAGGTCCGCGAAGCTATTCTATTACTCGAGTCGATACTGTCGGTTTTCTGCAGTTAACTCGGGCTGTAGGGGGGCTGCAGGGCTGGGAATCACATGAGTGGATTCGCAGACATCAGACGCGCCCGCCTGTCGCATTCAGAGGTCTGAACTCGGTTCGATACTCGAACTGGGTTCCGAAACTGTTTGTTCTTGGTTAGAGTCATCTTGAGAGGTCTGAAATCGCTTGGGCTGAAAAACTAGTCGTTCATTCCAGGAAGCTCTACGAGTCCCCCGGCGGTAAGAAAGGTTGACGGTTTACCGCCGGCGCCCAGTTGGTCCACCCGGCGGAGGCGGACAATGTGGTAACTTTTGGGTAGTTTTGCGAATATTCGAAAGATATTTGACCATTTATTTTGAGAAACCAGATTTTTCGCACCTGTAAACGACTATGAGGGCCTCTCTGTCTTAGTATGAGCTCTGTAGGCGCACTTTTACTATCAAAACACTTGGAGCAATCGTCTTCGCGTCGACACGAAAAAACATCAATTTTTCTCTTCTTCGAGAAATGCTTCCAGAAGCTCTCTGTTTCGACTCCGAGCACTCTTGCGCGTGAAATGAGCTCTACGAGGTTCCCGGCGGTGACCAGGTTGACGGTTCACCGCCGGCGCCAGTTGGCCGACCCGACCTTAAGAGACAATGTGGCGACTTGGGGTCGGTTATTCTATCTTTGTGCAAAATTTGAAAGTTCGTTTTACAAAGAGGTATTTTTCCCACCTGTAGCGGGTTATGCCGCGTCTGCCAGTTAAATTCCCAGGTCTGTAGCTGTAATATTACTATCAAAAGACTTGAGGGAACCGTCAGCCGTTTCGAGTCATCTTGACACGCGTTGACGGTTTTCTGTACTTAACTCGAGATTTAGGACAGCTACAGAGCTGATACTTACAGAAACCGATTCAAAATCATCAGGCGCGTTCGTCTGTCCCATCGAGAGGTCTGAACTCGGTCTGCTGCTCGAGCTAGGTCTGGCAGCTAGGTCCACGAAGCGAAGATGCAACATTTAAAAAAAACATATTTTCCGATATTTCTTCTTCACGCTTGAGAAAGCTTCTTTCGTATGCTTCGAGCAGCGCCGCGCCAGAATAGAGCTCTACGAGGCTCCCGGCGGTTACCTGGTTGACGGTTTTCCGCCGGATCCCAGTTAAAAGGTGGACGGTGGTGGTGCCCGCCAGCAGCCCATCTTCGCCGGTCCACGATCCTCGCAGCGCTCTGCTGGGCCCGGCAGCGGGTCCGGGAGAGCTTCCGGCAAGCTTCCACGCGAGCCCCCACGCGTGCAGGCACGCGTGGAAGCGTTCCTGGCAGCGTTTCAGAAACGCTGCTTTCCCGTTCCCAAAGGGTCTCTTCCCCCTTCGGGTTTTGGACGCTACCGAGTGATGACCTGGGGTCGGTAACTCGTAGAGCTTCCTTAGCAAGTTATTGCTGGAAGCTTAAGAGTAATTCCGGGGCGCTGGAGAGCTAGTTGGCAAGAAAGATCTCGACGGACCTTTTGGTGACTTTTGGTCGGTTGAAAATTTTCTTCTCGAAATTTAACAATTCGTTTGAGATCTAGTATTTTTTCCCATGATGTTCGATCTTATTCCCGCTCACCATCTTGATCTCAGCTCGATCGGGTACCTCTTACTGCCAAAAAGCAGGCAGGCGGGATCGCCCGTTTCGGGTCATCTTGTCACGCGGTGACGGTTTTCTCAAGATAACTCTAGCTTCAGGACAGCTACAGAGCTGGTCAGCACGGCTAATCGACTCAGAATGGTCAGGCGCGTTCGTCTGTTGAATCCAGAGGTCTGAACTCGGTCTGCTAGCCGAGCTAGGTCCGCAAACCTACTCGTATTATTCGAGTCTTCTTGACAGACGCTCTCGTCTATGCAGTGAATCATGGCGCTTTCGATGGTGAAAATCTGAGGGCCATAGCTGCAGTATTTCGATAAAAACACTACAGAGAACCAACATTGTGTACAACCGAAAATAATATTGCTTTATTTTTCAAGCTGGTATTGAGCAGCGTTTTCTGCTCTCGAAACCGAATTCGCCTATTCAGAGCTCTAGAAGGGTTCCGGCGGTAACCTGGTTGACGGTTTATCGCCGCCTCCCAGTTGCTCTTCGGGTTTTGGACGCTACCAAGTACCTCGTACAGCTCTTCGTAATCGATGAGCTAGAGGAATTCCGGCGTTGGTTGGAGCTAGTTGGTCGACCCGACCAGAAAGAACAAATACCTCGTAGAGCTCTTCGGCATCGATGAGCTAGAGGAATTCCGGCGCCGGGTGCAGCTAGTTGGCCAATCCGGCTGGGCGGACAATGTGATGACCTGGGGTCGGTTTATGGGAGATAGCAAGAGATTTTGAAATTCGTTTTGCAAATTTGAATTTCTATCCTATGCAGTGAACCATGCCGCTTTGAATGGTGCAATTCTTAGGGCTCTAGCTACATTATATCGATCAAACGACTGCGGGGAACCATTATTGTGTGCGACGGAAGACAAGATTTCCTTATTTTTGAAGCTGCTATTGAGGAGCGTTTTTCTGCTGTTAGTCCGGATCCCACTTGTCTATTCAGAGCTCTACGAGTGTCCCGGCGGTAAGCTGGTTGACGGTTTACCGCCGGATCCCAGTTGGTGACTTTCGGTCGGTTGTGCGAAAATTTTAAAGATAGTTAACATTTATTTTGAGAAAGCAGATTTTTGCGCGTCGCATCGGCATATAAACTCCTCTTTGACAGCAGCTCAGCTCTTCCGATGTATTTTCTTCAGAGTTCACTTCCGGGAACTGCGCGAATGTGAACATCGAAAAACTCAGAAATAAAGATTTTCGAAAATCTCTATATTGTTACTCTACTTCGATTCTAGGAGCTCTACGAGGTTCCCGGCGGTGAGTAGGTTGACGGTTCACCGCTGGCGCCAGTCAATTTATGCAGAATTTTGAAATTCGTTTTGAGAACCAGTTTTTTTCTCACGTGTAGTGGGTTGTGCTGCGTCCGCCAGTAAATTCTCAGGTCTGTAGCTGCAGTATTACTATCAAAAGACTTGAGGGAACCAACTTTAGATGAAAATCCAAAAATCGTGTTTTATCGAGTTTTCTGCTCTTTCTTCAGAAGCTTCCTCATGGTTCCGAGAAGCCCTGCGTAACAAAGAGCTCTACGAGGTGCCCGGCGGTGACCTGGTTGACGGTTTACCGCCGGTTTCCAGTACCTCGTAGAGCTCTCTGGCAAGATGAGCTAAGAGGAATTCGGGCGCTGGGTGGAGCTAGTTGGCCGACCCGATCTTAAGAGACAATATGGTAACTTTGGGTCGGTTTTGCAATCTTGTTGCAAAATTTGGAAGTTCGTCTTCGGAACCGGTATTTTTCTCACCTGTAGTGGGTTGTGCCGCGCTTGCCAATGAAATTCTCAGGTCCGTAGCTGCAATATTACTATCAAAAGACTTGAGGGAACTGTCGGCTGTTTTCCGCATTTTGACATGCGTTGACGGTTTTCTGTACTTCTCAATCAAGATTTAGGAGTCGTACAGACTGCTACTTACAGAAACCGATTTAGAATCATCAGGCGCGTTTGTGCGTTCCATCGAGAGGTCTGAACTCGGTCTGCTACTCGAGCTAGATCCTCGAAACTATTCGTATTATACGAGTCATCAGATGGGTGCTGTGGGTGCCCACTTGAATCGACTTTCGGTGAAAGCTGGAAAACGTAATTTTTCAGCTATTCAGCTCACGCGTAAGAAAGCTTTCCCCATGTGTTCCAAGCAGCGTCGTGCAGACAAGAGCTCTACGAGGCTCCCGGCGGTAACCTGGTTGACGGTTTACCGCCAGCTCCCAGTCGGCATCGATGAGCTAGAGGAATTCCGGCGCGGGGTGAAGCTAGTGACTCGTAGAGCTTCCCTTAGCAAGCTATTGCTGGAAGCTTAAGAGTAATTCCGGCGCGCTGGAGAGCTAGTTGGCAAGAAAAATCTCGACGGAACTTTTCATGACTTTTGGTCGGTTGAAAATTTTGTTTTCAAAATTCAACAATTCGTTTCAGCCCTGGTATTTTTTCCCGTGATATTCGATCTTATTCCTGCCCCCCCTCCTCCAGGCTTCCCAGGGCAGCCCCCCCCTGGGCCTCGGACACCTTTATTTTCGTGTCGTGTCGTGTCGTGTCGTTCGCCCCCCTGCCCCCCCCCTGCCCCCCCCCCCTCCGGGCTTCCCAGGGCAGCCCCCCCCTGGGCCTCGGACACCTTTATTTTCGTGTCGTGTCGTGTCGTTCGTCCCCCTGCCTTTCCTCCGGCCCTCCCCCCGTCCAGGCTTCCCAGGGCAGCCCCCCTGGGCCTCGGACACCTTTATCTTCGTGTCGTGTCGTGTCGTTCGTCCCCCGGCCCCCCCCCCGGCCCAGCTTTCCCAGGGCAGCCCCCCCCCTTGGCCTCGGACACGTTTATTTTCGTGTCGTGTCGTCTCGTTCGTCCCCCTGCCCCCCCCCCGGCCTTCTTCCGTCCAGGCTCCCCAGGGCCAGCCTCCCTGGCCCCCCCGCCCCCCCCCCGTCCACGCTTCCCAGGGCAGCCCCCCTGGGCCTCGGAACCTTTATTCTCTTGCACAGCTGTGCTCTAGAGCTCGGACATCTTTATTTTCGTCGTTCGTCGTGTCGTTCGCCCCCCTCGCCCCCCCCCTGTCCACGCTTCCCAGGGTAGCCCCCATGGGCCACGGAACCCTTTATTTTCGTCGTTCGTCGTGTCGTTCGTCCCCCTCGCCCCCCCCCGTCCCCCTCGCCCCCCCCCTCGCCCGGGCTTCCGAGGGCAGCCCCCCTGAGCCTCGGACACCTTTGTGCAAGAGCCAGGGCACGCGTGCCACTTGTTCCCGCTCGCCATCTTGATCTCAGCTCGATCGGGTAAATATTACTATCGAAAAGCACTGTGGCGGGATCGGCCGTTTTAAGTCATCTTAATACGCGTTGACGGTTTTCTGAACATGACTCGAGCTTTAGACCAGCTACGGAGCTGGTAAGCAGAGCTAATCGATGTGGAATGATTAGGCGCGTTCGCCTGTTGAATCCAGAGGTCTGAACTCGGTCTGTTAGCCGAGCTAGGCCCGCACACCTATTCGTATTATTCGAGTCATCTTGACAGGAACTCTCGTTTTCTGTACTTAACTCGAGCTGTAGGACAGCTAAAGAGCTGATATTTACAGAAAACGATTCAGAATCATCAGTTGCGTTTGTCTGTCGAATCCAGAGCTCTGAACTCGGTCTGCTGCTCGATCTAGAATCACGAAGCTATTCTTGAGAGGTGCTCTCGGTTTTCTTCACTCAACGCGCTCTGGGGGGCTACAGTGCTGCTGGTCTCAGGAATCGATTAGAAGACATCAGGCGCGTCAGCCTGTCGAATCGAGAGCTCGGAACTCGGTCTGCAGCCCGAATCATGTCTGCGAAACTACTGTATTGTTCGAGTCATTCTGAGAGATGCTTTAACTCGGGCTGTAGGGGGGATGCAGGGCTGGTAATGACAGGAGTCGATTCGCAGACATCAGACGCGTCCGCCTGTCGCATTCAGAGGTCAAAGAATATTCACTATGAGTCGGAATGTTGGTAGGTGCTGTCGGTTTCTTCAACTTAAGTCGAGCTAGGAAGCTCTACGAGTGTCCCGGCGGTAACCAAGGTTGACGGTTTACCGCCGGCCCCCAGTTGGTCGATCTGGCCAGAAAGGACAAAGTGATAACTTTGGGTGGTTTTGCGACAAATTGAAAGACATGTGACAATTCATTTTGAGAAAGCAGATTTTTCGCACCTGTGAATGATTATGAGGGCCTCTCTGTCTTAATATGAGGTCTGTAGGCGCACTTTTACTATCGAAACACTTGGCGGAACCATCTTCATGTCGACACGAAAAAAATCAATTCTTCTCTTATTCAAGAAATTCCAGAAGTTCTCTTTTTCGACCCTGAGCACTCTTACGCGTGAAAGGAGCTCTACGAGGTTCCCGGCGGTGACCAGATTGACGGTTCACCGCCGGCGCCAGTACCTCGTAGAGCTCTTCGTCATCGATGAGCTGGAGGAATTCCGGCGCGGGGTGGAGCTAGTAACTCGTAGAGCTTCCCTTAGCAAGTTGTTGCTGGAAGCTTAAGAGTAATTCCGGGGCGCTGGAGAGCTAGTTGGCAAGAAAAATCTCGACGGACCTTTTGGTGACTTTTGGTCGATTGAAAATTTTGTTCTCGAAATTCAACAATTCGTTAGAGCTCTAGTATTTTTTCCCATGATATTCGATCTTATTCCCGCTCGCCATCTTGATCTCAGCTCGATCGGGTACCTTTTACTGCCAAAAAGCAGGCAGGCGGGATCGGCCGTTTCGAGTCATCTTGATACGCGCTGTCGGTTTTATCAAGATAACTCGAGCTTCAGGACAGCTACAGAGCTGGTGAGCACAGCTAATCGATGCAGAATGATCAGGCGCGTTCGCCTGTTGAACCCAGAGGTCTGAACTCGGTCTGCTAGCCGAGCTAGGTCCGCAAATCTATTCGTATTATTCGAGTCATCTTGACAGACGCTCTCTGTTTTTTTTGTACTTAACTCGAGCTGCAGGACAGCTACATAGCTGATACGTACAGAATCTGATTCAGAATCATAGTGGCCGTTGTCTGCTGAATCGAGAGCTCACTCGGTCTGCTCTAACTATTCGTATTGTTCGAGTCATCTTGAGAGATGCTGTCGGCTCTCTGCACTTAACTCGGGCTGTAGGGGGGCTGCATAGCTGGTAATCACTGGAATCGATTCGGAGATATGAGGCGCGTCCTCCTTTCGAATCGAGAGCTCCGAACTCTGTCTGCTGCCAGAACTAGATCCGCGGAACTATTCGTATTGTTTGAGTCATCCTCAGAGGTGCTATCGGTTTTCTGCATAACTCGGGCTCTAGGGGGGCTCCAGGGCTGGTAATCACATAACTCGATGCAGAGACATCAGACGCGTCTGCCTGTCCCATGGAGAGGTTTGAACTCGGTCTGATACTCGAGCTAGATTTGCCAAACTATTCGTATTGTTCGAGTCATCTTGAGAGGTGCTGTCGATTTACGCACATAACTCGGGCTGGAAAAGAGCTACAGAGCTCGTACAGAAGACAATCCAGAAGCATCTGGGACGTTCGGCTGTTGCATCCGAGAGGTCTGAAATTGGTTGGGCTGAAAAACTATTTTTTCCGTGTAATTTTTTGACATTATATGTTGTCAGGAAGCTCTACGAGTCCCCCGGCGGTGACGAAGGTTGACGGTTTACCGCCGGCGCCCAGTTGGCCGACCCGGCGAGAACGGAGAAAGTGATAACTTCTGGGTGGTTTTGCGAATCTTTGAAAGATATTTGACAATTCATTTTGAGGAAGCGGATTTTTCGCACCTGTAGTGGGTTAAGACGCGTCTGCCAGTGAAGTTTTCAGGTCCGTAGGTGCAGTATTTCTATCAAAACAGACGTTCGATAAAAACAGAAAAACGTGGTTTTTCGATTTTTTCGTTTCTCACTCCAGAAGCTTACTCCCTGTGTTCTGAGGAGCGCGGTGTGAGAAAAGAGCTCTACGAGGGTCCTGGCGGTAACCTGGTTGACGGCTTACCGCCGGTTCCCAGTTGGACGCTACCAAGTGCCTCGAGCGAGCCCTTGCGGACACAACGGTTCCAAGGTACACCAGCGGCCGACACTTCTTGGAAGCGGAACGCCGCCTCGTTGTCGAGATAGCACTCAAGTAATGCGTAAGCAAGCTGATGTTTGACGCCCATATATTCCAGAGCATTTGCAGCCAGTATTTCAGGTCCGTAGGTGCAGTATTTCTATCAAAACAATTGGAGCAACCGACGTTCGATAAAAACAGAAAAACGTGATTTTTCGATTTTTTCATTTCTCACTCCAGAAGCTTGATCCCTGTGTTCTGAGGAGCGCGGTGTGAGAAAAGAGCTCTACGAGGGTCCCGGCGGTAACCTGGTTGACGGTTCACGGCTGGTTCCCAGTTAATGCCAAGCTTGCTCAAGCCAAGTATGCCGTTACTCAACCTGTCTGCCAATGCGGGCATCGCAATGATGACTTGGTTGCGTCCAAAACCCGGAGAGCAAGGAGGACACCACGCCCGAAATCCTTCCTGGCGAGCCCTCGGAAGCTCCCCTGAAGCGCTTCCGGGGCTCTGGGGGGCTCTCCTGGAGCGCTTCTGAAACGCTGCCAGGAACGCTTCCACGCGTGCCTGCGCGCGTGCAAGCACGCGTAGACGCTTGCCGGAAGCTCTCCCGGACCCGCTGCCGGGTCAGGCGAGGCGCTGCGGGGATCGTGGAGCGGTGGGGATGACGTTCACGCCCTCTCAAAGGGAGAAGATCGAGTGGTATGCAGGGCACCGCCATCCTTTTCCAGTGGGTTTTCAACTGGCACCTAATTTGGAATTGTGCCCCCCAGAGGGCTCTGGGCTGGCAGCTGCGCATTTGGGCGCGCCGATCGAGCCGCCGCTGCGGAGCAAGCCTTGCGACGCAGACTGTTCACAGACGAATGGTGCTTGAAGTCAAGCGCCGAATGCTGTCATCGCGCTGGATGGGCGGCTGTTCGCCTTCATGATAACGGGGAATCTACACGGCTCTTTATCGACCAATTGAGACCGCCCTGCCGCAGACGTCCCCAGCAGCCGAATGAATCGCCTTCTGCGCTGCTGCTCTGACGGGGTCCACAGACCGCGAATTTGTCACTGATTTCATGGGGGCCCTTAGTCTCAATCGCCGTGCGTGTATCGCGCTGGATAGAGAATCGCGCTACGCAGGTCTCAGCAAACTGGTTCTTGTAGGCGCAACGTGGACTTCGATTTGCCACGTCAGCAAAGTGAAAAGCCACCGGGATGTAGACTCGCTCTGCGCCGGCGCGGACGTGCACTTTAGAGCTCTCGATTCGATTTTGAACAGGAAGCCAGATTGCTGGCCGTTTTCTTGATGTTTGTAGGTGGAGCCCTTGTGGACCCAGCTGGCAACCAGACGCGCCAGCAAACACAAGTTTAGAAGGAGTCGAAGGCCTAGCTAAGATCAAGAGAGGTGTGCAGGATGCTCGAGAAATTCTGGCGCAGCCTGTCGAGCGAAGGGCGTTTCTCTCTCCGCAGCCGCCCCATCTCCACAACCTGCTTTCCTTCTGTCCTCCTCTCCTTCTTCTCCTCCTCCTGCTCCTTTTCCTCCCCCTCCTCATCCTCATCCTCCTGCCTCCTCTGGATTATCTGTCGGAGCCTCGTGGTTGTCGTGTCCCAGGGAGGGAGACTGCCAGAAGTTTCTCGCGCACGCCAGGTTTCAGAGGCAGACGAAGTGGGTGTGCGCCCGCTGCCTGGCGTGGGCTTGCAAGGACAGCACGAAGACTCGCAAAATCAGGCTCGCCTGCCCAGATCATAATAGTCTACTGTCATGTTTAGTTCAAGAGGACAGGGGGCACAGGCTCTCAACACTTCCTTTCTTAGCTGATGAGGAAGCCTTCCACCGCGGATGTGCGAGGTGCGGGGCCCACACTTCGAGAGATGTGCGTTGCTTGGCTAGAACTTGTCAAGGAGGTTTCTCGTCGGGTGTCCAGCAGCACCGCTGGAGCTGGATGTTGAGGGGACAGCATTGTTTTGGGCGCCCTCGAGTCGATAGTGCCTCCAGAGGGCAGCTCGCCAGCATCATCCTCATCACCCTCATCCTTATCCTCATCGTCATCCTCATCCTCATCCTCATCCTCATCCTCGTCCTCATCATCATCATCATCACCAGCATCCTCATCATCGTCATCATCATCAGTCAGCACTATCCCCTTCCTCCCTCCGCCTCCCTCCTCCCACGTAATCACCAGCATAGCCAACATCATTATCATCACCAGCACAGTCATCCTCACCGTCATCATCATCATCATCATCATCACCTTCGTCATCGTTATCACCAGCAGCATCAGCATCAGCATTAGCATCAGCATCAGCATCATCATCATCATCATCGTCGTCGTCATCATCATCAGCATCATCATCGTCAACGTCATCCTCATCGTCATCGTCATCAACAGCAGCATCATCATCAGCAGAAGCATTAACATCAGCATCAGTATCGTAATCGTCACCAGCTTTATCATCAGCAGCAGCAGAAGCAGCAAAGGCAGCATCAACATTTCTTCTTCAGCATCATCAGCGGCAGCATCAGCATCAGCATCAGCATCAGCATCATCATCAGCATCATCATCATCATCATCATCATCATCATAATCATCAGCATCCCCATCACCGTCATAAACATCACCAGCGTTATCCTCACCACCACCATCATCATCATCATCATCGTCGTTGTCGTCGTCGTCGTCGTCGTGGTCGTCATCCTCATCGTCATCGTCCACAGCACCATCGTCATCCTCAGCATCATCAGCATCACCATCAGCATCATTCGCATCATAATCACCATCAACACCATCATCAACATCTTCATCTTCATCATCATCATCATCAGCATCACCATCATCATCATCATCACCATCATCATCATCAACATCATCGTCATCGTCCGCGTCAGCGTCAGCGCCGTCGTCGTCGCCGTCACCATCACACCATCACCGCCATCGTCATCATGACCGCTGTTATCATCACCACCGTGGCCACCAATTTCGACACACCCCTCACACGTTTCGTGGCCCTCCTAGGCAGCTCCACCCAAAGCCTCAATGGCACCGTCCACATGCGTCCGCGCCACCAATTCTGGTACACCCCTCACACGCTGCGTGGCCCCATAAGGAGCTTCACCCAAGGCCCCATTGGCACCGTCCACATGCGCCCGCGCCACCCATGTCTTCCCACCCCTAGCGCGTTAGTGGCCCCATAAGGAGCGACGCCCAAGGCCCCACAAGAAGCTCCACCAAAGGCCTCAATTGCACCGTTCGCATGCGCCCGCGACACCAATTTCGGCACACCCCTCACACGCTTCGTGGACCGATACATGCGTCCGCGCCACCAATTTCGGCACACCATTCTTACACTTCATGGCCTCACATAGCTCCACCCAACGCCACAGTAAGACCATCCACATGCGTTCGCGCCACCCGTTTCGGCACATCCCGCACAAGCTTCGTAGCTCCATAAGGAGCACCGTCCACGTGCGCCCGCGCCATCCATTTCGGCCCTCACATGTTTCGTGGCCCAACAGGGAGCTCCAACCAACACCCCAACGGCACGGTTCGCATGCGTCCGCGCCACTCATTTCGGCACACCCCTCGCAGGCTTCGTGGTCCCATAGAGAGCTCCACCCAACGCCCCAATGGCACGGTTCGCATGCGTTCGCGCCACACATGTCGGCACTCTCCACCGAAGACCTTAATGGCACCGTTCGCATGCGTTCGCACCATTCATGTCGGTACACCCCTCACACGCTTCGTGGCCGTAGGGAGCTCCACCCAATGCCTCAAGAGCACCGTCCACGTGCGTCCGCGCCAATCATTTCTGCCCACCTCTCACACGCTTCGTAGCCCCATATCTCCACCCAAAGCTCCACGGGCACCGCCCACATGCGTCCGCGCCGCTCCTTTCGGACCACCCCTCACACGCCCCGTGGCCCACAAGGAACCCACCGCCGGCGCCAGTTGCTCTCCGGGTTTTGGACGCCACCAAGTTACCAGCCCTGCAGCCCTTACAGCTCGAGTTAACTGCAGGAAACCGACAGCGCCCCTCAGGATCGAAGAATGCAATAGTTTTCCGGACCTAGTTCGGGCAGCAGACGGAGTTCTGAGCTCTGCATTCGACAGACGGACGCGTCTGATCTCTCCCAATCCACTTCTGTGATTACCAGCACTGTCCCCCCCTATAGCGCGAGTACCTCGTAGAGCTCTTCGTCGTCGATGAGCTAGAGGAATTCCGTCGCGGGGTGGAGCTAGTTGGCCGACCCGGCCCCAACGGACAAAGTGACAACTTTTGGGTGGTTTTGCGATTTTTTGAAAGATACTTGACCATTTATTTTGATAAAGCAGATTTTTCGCACCTGTAGACAACTATGAGGGCCTCTGCGTCTTAATATGAGCTCTCTAGATGCACTTTTACTATGAAAACACTTGGCGAAACCAATTTTAGGTCGACATCAAACAAATCATGTCTTCTCTTTTTCGAAATGCTTCCAGAAGCCCTCTCTTTTGATGCTGAGCACTCTTACGCGTGTCAGGAGCTCTACGAGGTTCCCGGCGGTGACGAGGTTGACCGTTCACCGCCGGCGCCATAGAGAAAACTGTCAACACCTCTCAAGATGACTTTAACATCACGAATAGTTTCGCGAAGCTAGTTCGGGCAGCAGACCGAGTTCAGACCTCTGGATGGGACAGACGAACGCGCCTGATAATTCGATTCCTGTGAGAATCACCTCTGTAGCTGCCCTACAGCTCGAGTTAAGTACAAAATACCGAGAACGTATCAAGATGACTCGAAACGGCCGATCCCGCCGCGATGCTTTTTGCAGTGATATCTAACCGATCGAGCTAAGAACAATATGACGAGCGGTGATAAGATCGAATATGGTGGGGAAAAATACTAGAGCTCAAACGAATTGTTGAATTCCGAGAACAAAATTTGCAACCGACCCCAAGTCAGCAAAAGGTCAGTCGAGATTTTTCTTGCCAACTAGCTCTCCAGCGCGCCGGAATTACTCTTGAGCTTCGAGCAACTAGCTAAGGGAAGCTCTACGAGTTAATCTCTTCCCTTTCTCTTCTCCGGCTTCTCTCCTCTTTTTTCTTGCTCCTTCTGTGTTCTTCTTGTTTTTTCTCTCTACTGTTTCTTATCTTGTTTCCATCTGCGACACTATTCGTATTGTTCGAGTCATTCAGAAGGACTGTCGAGTTTCTGCACTTAATTCGGGCTGTAAGGGCTGCAGGGCTGGTAATCACAGGAATTGATTCGGGAGACATCAGGCGCGTCCGCTTCTTGCATTCAGATGTCTCAACTCGGTCTCATACTCGAGCTAGATTCGCGAAACTATTTGTATTGTTCGAGTGATCCTGAGAGGTGCTGTCGATTTTCGCGCGTAACTCGGGCTTCAGGAGAGCTACGGAGCTCGTGCGCACAGAAAACGATCCAGAAGCATAAGGGGCGTTTAGCTGTTGCATCGAGAGGTGTGAAATCGTTTATGCTCAAAAACTATTCGTTCTCTGCAATTTTTTCGACATTGCGAGTCCCCCGGCGGTAAGGAAGGTTGACGGTTGACCGCCGGCGCCCATTTGAAAGATATGGGACCATTTATTTTGAGACAGCAGATTTTTACGCCGAGCATTGGCATACAAACTTTGTTCCCTGAGCAGCTCAGCTCTCTGGAACCAGTTTTAGTATTAGTTGACTTCCAGGAACCGACTGTATCTTCACTCTGAAAATCTAAATTTGACGTGTTTCTAGAAAAGCTCCCAGAAGCTCTCCGCTTCGATCCTAAGCTTTCGTACGGGTGCAAGGAGCTCTACGAGGTTCTCCGCGGTGACCAGGTTGACGGTTCACCGCCGGCGCCAGTTCCGGGGCGCTGGAGAGCTAGTTGGCAAGAAAAATCTCGACGGACATTTTGAGGAATTTTGGTCGGTTGAAAATTTTGTTCTCAAAATTTGAACATTCGTTAGAGCTCTAGTATTTTTTCCCGTGATATTCGATCTTATTCCCGCTCGCCGTCTTGGTCTCACCTCGATCGGGTACTCTTACTGCCAAAAAGCGTCCAGGCGGGATCGGCCGTTTCGGGTCATCTTGTCACGCGGTGACGGTTTTCTCAAGATAACTCGAGCTGTAGGACAGCTACAGCTGGTAAGCACATCTAATCGATTCAGAATGATCAGGCGCGTTCGCCTGTTGAACCCAATGGTCTGAACTCGGTCTGCTAGCCGAGCTAGGTCCGCAAACCTATTCGTATTATTCGAGTCATCTTGACAGACGCTCTCGGTTTTCTGTACTTAACTCGAGCTGCAGGACAGCTACTGAGCTGATACGTACAGAATCTGATTCAGAATCATCAGCGGCCGTTGTCTGTTGAATCCAGAGCTCTGAACTCGGTCTGCTGCCCGATCTAGAATCGCGAAACTATTCGTATTGTTCGAGTCATCTTGAGAGATGCTGTCGGTTCTCTGCACTTAACTCGGGCTGTAGGGGGGCTGCATGGCTGGTAATGACTGGAATCGATTCGGAGACATCAGGCGCGTCCGCCTTTCGAATCCAGAGCTCCGAACTCTGTCTGCTGCCCGAACTAGGTCCGCGAAACTATTCGTATTGTTCGAGTCATCCTGAGAGGTGCTGTCGGTTTCCTGCACTTAACTCGGGCTGTAGGGGGGGCTGCAGGGCTCGTAATCACAGGAATCGATTCAGAGACATCAGACGCGTCCGCCTGTCGCATGCAGAGGTCTGAACTCGGTCTGATACTCGAGCTAGGTTTGCCAAACTATTCGTATTGTTCGAGTCATCTTGAGAGGTGCTGTCAATTTACGCACGTAACTCGGGCTGTAGGAGAGCTACAGAGCTCGTACAGAAGACAATCCAGAAGCATCGGGGGCGTTCGGCTGTTGCATCCGAGAGGTCTGAAATTGCTTGGGCGGAAAAACTATTTTTGTCGGTGTAATTTTTTTCGACATTATATGTTGTCAGGAATCTCTACGAGTCCCCCGGCGGTAAGAAAGGATGACGGTTTACCGCCGGCGCCCAGTTGGCCGA